GGGACTAAACCCCCCCTAAACCCGGGACTAAACCCACCCCAAACCTGGGACTAAACCCGGGACTAAACCCGCCCTTAACCCGGGACTAAACCCACCCTAAACCCGCCCTAAACCTTCCCTAAACCCGAGACTAAGCCTGGGACTAAACCCGCCCTAAACCGAAGATTAAACCTGGGACTAATCCCGTCCTAAACCCGCCCTAAACCTGGGACTAAACCCACCCTAAATCTGGGACTAAACTTGCCCTRAACCYGGGATTTAACCCGGGCCTAAACTCGGGACTAAACCCGGGACTAATCCAGCCCTAAACCCGGGACTAAACCCAGTCTCTGCTCTTGGGCCATCAAGGTCTGTGGGAATGACTCATAGAATTATATCATCCCATTGTCAGATGCCCCACCCAGAGAGGAGGAACTGGACATCCCTAGCAGCATAGACTGAGGCTCTGGAACACTGGGATACTTCTTCCACAGGATTCCCAGAGGAGAGGAGCTTGAGAASCACTACTGGACCTTCAGAGACGGACTCGACCTGTCTTCAGGATCACTGCTTCAATGAGAGCACATCCATCATTCCAACGGGACTGCAGCCACCACCCTGCCCAACAGTGTGTCAGGTTGTATTCTGGCTGTCAGTTTAAGCTGTTGTTGTTTCTGTATTATTGCCTTTATTTTAATTTTTCCTATTAAATTGTAGTTCTGACTTAGAATCACTTGCAACATATTTGCGTGGTTATAATTTCCCTGCTGGTTTGCTTTCAAACTTGAACACCGGGTGAGGCACCTCCACCTTCACCTGGAGCCAAGGGAATGTGGGACCCCCTGGGAGAGCCAGAATAGGGAACCTTGAGACCCCCCAAGTGGGGAGAACAGAGAGGGGCAATAGTGGGACCAGGGGATCCCCGGCACTGTGGAGGAGCAGAGCCCTGTGTCTCCCAGGACCTCAAAGAGGGGAGCTCAGAGAGGGGGAAGTGCCACGATTCTCGGGACCCTCAACAGCCTGGAGAGGGGGAGATGGCACTCCTCGGACCCCCTGTGCCCCAAAGCAGAGAATAAGGAGAGAAGTCTAGAGGTAGACTCGAGCAGAGGGACCTTCAAACGTAAGTTGCTCATCCCTTGTTTTTCCCCAGCCCAGCATTTCCCATTCTCAACCATTGGCTGGATAAAGCAGGAGGCTATGAGGAAGAGGAAGATGTCCCAGGACCCCCAGGCAGGTGAGGAGGAAGTCACTTGTCCTTTCCTCTCTCTCCTGCTCCATCTCCCAGCCCAGCATCGCCCCGGCTGCAGGACAACCCCGCTGCAGACACCGTCCTGCTGGTGATGGGCTGGGGGGATCTCCTTCCCCTTCCCTCTGGCACGGAGGCAAATCCCATCCTCTCCTTGTCCTTCCTCCCCCAGACAATGAGCTGAGGATGGAGACCAAGGAGGA